AAACCAGGCTGGGAATTTTCCCAAAGCATTGGTGTGCTTGGAAGCTGTCCCCTGGGATGAATGCTGCACAGAGGGAGGTGGCGTGAATCACAGACCACCACAGGAGTCTGCTGAGAGAAATTAAATACCAGGACCAGAGACAAAAGTCTGTTCTTTCTCTAGAGTCTCTCTAGTACCTTGTACTGACAAAGCTTAGCATCATACCTACTTGACTGGAGGTCTTTAATTCCTCATATGGTTTCAGGTCACTATCTAGCATCCTTTCATTTGAACCCTGAAAGACCCTCTTTAGTGTTTCTTGTAGAGTATGTCTGGTAGTAAAAACAAAACATAAAAACTTCCTCAGTTTATCTGGAAATGTCTGAATTTCTCCCTCATTTTTTTGAATGACAGTTTTGCTGGATATAGAATTCTTAGTTGATAGATTTTTTTTTTAAACTTTGAATGTATCAACCTACTGTCTTCTGGCTTCCAAAATTTCTGATGAGAAATAGGCTCATGATTTATTAAGATTCTCTTATATGTGTTGTGTTGCCTCTCTCTTGCTGCTTTCAAGATTCTCCATTTTTTGACAGCTTAATTGAAAAGTATATCAGTGAATTTATCCTACTGGGACTTTGTTGAGCTTCGTGGATTTGTACATTCATGTCTTTCTTCAAATCTGGGAAGTTTTCAGCCATTATTTCTTCAAATAATCTCTGTTCTTCTCTTTTCACCTTCTGAGCCTCCCATAATGCATATGTTGGTCTTCTCAGTGCTTTAACGCAGGTGCCCTCTGTTCACTTTTCTTCATTCTTTTTCTTTTCACCCCGCCCCCCCAGACTTAATAATTTCAATTGCCCTATATTCAAATTTGCTAACTCTTTCTTTTGCCTGCTTAAATCTGCTCCTGAACCCACCTGGTGAATTTTTTGTTTCAGTTATTGTATTTTTCAGTCCTGGAATTTATTTTTCCTTTCTGTAATTTCTTTCTCTATTGATTTTCTCATTTTTCTCATACATCATTTTCCTGTCTTTATTTGTGTCATCCATTAGTACTTTGAGCATTTTTAAGACAGTTGTTTTAAGTCTTTGCCTAATAAGCCCAACATCTGAGTTTTCTCGGGCATCATTTCTGCCGGTATATTTCGTTCCTTTGAGTGGGCCATACTTTTCTTTTCTTTTATATGCTTTGTGATTTTTTTGTTGAAAACTGGACATTCGAATCTTATAATGTAACTCTGATAATCAGCCTCTCCCTTTCTGGATTTTCTGTTTCTTTGCTGTTGAAAGGCTTCTCTGTGCTGGGGATCAACCTGATGTAAAAGCATAAGGTATTTTCAGGCCTTTTCTAGCCTTCATCTTTTCCAGGGCATACCTGGTGGCTTCCTAAATTTTCCCATATGTGCAGTTGCTTTTGAATGACTTAATCCTTGCATATCTGGCTCCCAAAAGGGGAAAAAGAGAAAAAAAATGTATTGCTCATTGAAATTCCTTGGAAGTTCCTTCAGCTCACAGGAGTTGCGACAGTAGTGTCCACCCTCTGTTCCTGCACCTCAGAAATCAAAAGCAGCACTGAACAATCAGAACACAGAACCCCAATATTTGGAGAATAAGGTTCTTATTGTCCACCCTGGCTCTAGCCAGCCACACCAGGCACAGCTGCCTGCCATGGGGCTGGAGTGTGGGGGACAGATAGCCACTACCACAATAAAGGCTAAAATGTCTCTAAATTAACCACAGCTTGCCAGCCAAGCTTTTCCCAGAAGGCAGCACATCAAATAGACTCCAGAATTTCAAAATAGTAACTTCGGACCGTTTTTGCCAATACATTTGTTGTCTAAGTGGAGAGACAGATTCCTGGTGCTTCTTACTCCACCGTCTTCCCTAACTTTGCTCTCTGTTTTGGTCTTTTTAAGATAAATTTTGATAATTTACTTCAACTCAGTCTACTGTTTGTTAAAGACTAGCCTGTGCAAGGTTCTCTGTGTGAGGCTGCAGAAAAATAGGAGGAAGACAGTAATCTAGCTCACCATTTCACAAGATTGATGATAGCAGCATAGCAGAGACCCAAGCAGGGTCAAAAGAGGCTCCGGGTAGGAAATAAAAAGAGGCTTCAGGGTGGAGGTGGCCTCAAGGATGGACGGAGAGTTGGGGGGTGGGGGAGGTGGGGAAGATGGGGCAGTGGGCTAGATCGGGGGGCTGAAAGGGAACTTGCCCATGGGAGAAAGTTGGTCAGGGAGAAGAAACAGGGTAAACAGAGTTCAGGAGGAAAGCACCCTGAGGCACATGAGGTATCCTGTGGGCTATCCCCCTCTAGGCCCACTTTCTGCTGGATCCAGAAGTTGTCTTCACATGTTTAATCTCTCCACCCACCTGCCTCAAGGCATAAAGGTAGTTGGCTTATGAGGATCAGTCAGACGTACATCTGGAAAAATCAATTGTTAGAGGTGGGTACAATGGAAGCTAAGATAAAGCTTAGTGGCAACTCAGGAAGTTAATTACACGAGGGTGCACAAATCTCAGTTCACACCCTAACTGGAAAATGTAGCTTTCTTCATCTTCCTAGAAACCAATTTTTATTTGCATTTGTATTTTTGATGTTTTAATTTGTGTTTTTGAACTCCATTCTAGTTCAGGTTGGATCCCTAATCACTTCAGGAGTTTTTGCCCCATATTCCCTGAGTCTACAACTAAATTCAGTGAGGATGCATCTGATCCTTGTGTCGTCTGGTATATCTATTTTCTAAGGGCTGCCATAACACACTATTGCTAACTGGGTGGCGTAAACAACACAAATTTATTCTCTTTTAGTTCTGGAGACCAGAAGTCCAAGATCAAGGTCTTGGAAGGGTTGGTTGCTTCAGAAGGCTGTGAAGGAGAATCTGTTCCATGCCTCTCTCCTGATTTCTATGTGACTTACTGGTGATCTTTGGCATTCCTTAGAATGTAGAAACATCACCTGGATTTCTGTCTTCATCTTTGCATGGTGTTCTCCCTCTGTGTTTCCATCTCCAGATTTCCCCTTTCTATAACAGTACTAGTCATATTGGATTAGGAGCTCACCCTGTTCTAGTATGATCTCATCTTAATTAATTACATCTGCAATGGTCCTATTTTTAAATAAGGCCACATTCTGAGGCACTGGGGTTAGGACTTTAGCATATGACTTTAGGATGGACACAATTCAACCCATAACTTCTCACCATAGAGCATCTGCTGCCTCACCCATCCCTTCTCTGGTCCCAGCCATGGGAACTCGCCTGTTGCAGAGATATCCCTCCTGCTGGTCCACATGGCTTTTCCCCTCTCTCTTTCTTCCACACTGTGCTTTGTGGCACCGGAATTCATTCATCTGTCCACACTCGGCATTCAGGCCCAGGGCTCTTGGGAGACTCTGTCTCCCTAAACATGCCATGCAATCATTTCCCTGAGATCCAGCTGCCTCCCTGGTGTTCTGGGAAGGAAAAATAACAAAAGGTCTCTCTGTTCTCAGATCCCATAAACCTTAGAGAGGTTTTGCTATTTCCTGACTTGGAGATCAGAACTCAGGGCCCCTCTCTGGGGCCACCAGTATGTATAACCTCTCAAGGCTGCCGCCATGCCCAAGTGAAGGAGAGGTTGTCTGGTGTACATGAGGTGGGCCTAGAGGTAAGAGTGCAGCCTTTCTTCCTGCTCCAGACATTCTCTCCAACATATTTATGTAGACCAGGAACCGGGAAATGATGGCCCATGGACCAAATCTGGTACACCACCTGGTTTTATAAATAAAGTTTTATTGGCACACAGCTATGCCCTTTTGGCTCTGCATTGTCTTTGTACAACAGTGGCAGAGTTGAGTAGTTGGGACAGAGACTACATGGCCCACAAAGCCAGAAATAGTCACCTTTGCAGAAGAAGTTTGTAGACCCCTGATGACACAAAAGCCTAAGGACTTCTGCTGTGATCTCTCTCCCCTGAAGCAGTGATCATAGGGTGGCCTCATTGTCTGGCTACAGGGAATGGCAAAGGGAGGAAAAGAAATACTCAGTGTGGTTATTGTGTCAAAACTATTGTCCTGCCAACTGGTGTATGCAATTTGTGAAAAGCCGTTGAACAAAACAGTTGTGATTTGTGTTCTTTTCCCCTCGATGCTGAATTTCAGTAAAAAGTTTGGGGAGAAAACAATCGTACTCCATCATGGTGATTTTGGCATCATGGAAATGAAGGGAACCACTGAGGTTGCTTGGGTCAGGGTCCTGTGAGGACACCCTAGGGCTTCATGGAACAGCTGGGCAGACCCTACATTTCAGCCAGCCCCCAGTGTCCTCCTGCTCCTACTCAGTGCCCCTCACACACATGGGTTTGGCCAGAGAACACAGCTGGGTCTCCAGAACTACTTAGAACCCCAGTCTAAGCACAGAGCCTCAGGGACCCAGGATGCGTCTTTGACCACTCGTGGTCTCACACTTGCCCAAGTACCCAAGTAAAGGTTGCAGAGCCGGGATCTGGCAGGTCTCTACCCAAAGCCATTGAACAAGTTAATGAATCATTCTGATTCTCTGCATTACAAAGTTAAATGAGAGCTATTTACTCATCCTGAAACTTAGTGACCTCCGGAGTGGACCTGGGAGCCACATAAAGGTCTTTGTTTTATAGAAGACCAAAAAAACAAAACAGAACAAAAACAAAAAACCCACACACACTAAAAATTCCCCCTGGGGGTTTTCAGTGTTACAAATGGCCAAGTTTTAAGTTCAGATGAAAGACCCAATTTGTGGATCTTGCTGAACTGATACCATATTCTATTTCCAGATGACCCTGATTTACAGTTCTTGGATGCATTTTTTCTGACGGCTCAGTTAAACACGCCGTCAGCATGGGACTGGGATTGCTGAGGTATGGTGTGGAAGAGCAGAGGGAGGTTGCTTTGGAAACCTTGCCTGGCCCCTCCCCCTCCTGGCAAGAGAGGCAAAAAACCGAGCCCCGCTGCTGTTTCCACAGCACCGTCTGGGTAACTCAGACCTTTCTCTTCCTTCTAGCCCTGGGCCTGGGGGCACGCACTGCCTGGGAGCCAGTGTGGAGCATGCTGTCTGCGAGAACCTTCCCTGCCCCAAGGGCCTGCCCAGCTTCCGGGACCAGCAGTGCCAGACGCACGACCGACTGAGCAGCAAGAAGAAGGGCCTGCTGACAGCAGTGGTGGTTGATGGTAAAGGCATATGGCACGTCCTTTCACAGTGCCCCCCCCCACTTCTCCTCCCAAGAATGTAAACACCTCCTAGGAAACCCCACAGGGGTCCCCCTTCCCAGCCATCCATCCAATGGGACGCTCCAGCCCCACTGCGCCAGTCAGCAGTGGACCGGCTTCTCGAGCAGTGGGGTTGAACTTGGATGACCCAGCTCTGGGAGATTTCTTAAAAGCAGCTGTGAGGCAGGCAGCAGACCAGAATCGTCCTGCACCCCCATTTGCAGCAAGGCGGGGGTACTGGCAGCCTGCCGCCTAGTGCCATGTGCTAAGGGGCCCAGGGCCAACTTTGAGGAGAGTGGGGCTCTGCAGGCGCAGGATGGTGGGTTTCTGCGTCTGCTCTCTCTTTCCAACGTTGATGCTTTCTTGCATTTCTTTTCTTGGTTCGTTTTGGGTTGGCTTTCACTCCTTGACTAGAGTGTTGGGAAAAAAAAGTTTTGAGGACAATTTACAACTCAGAGATGATGATAGGCACAGGTCACATTTTCCTTACAAGAGGTTTCTCCCGAATCAGGGGACTCTGCCCCATGATCTATTGCAAGCATTTCCAGCGGCTGATCAAATTCTAGGTGGTATATCATGTCTGTAGGATTTGGAATGTTTATTTATTGAAGGACCACCTACCCGCCATGGCCTAGCTCAAGGTCTTTTACACTTAAAATTCTCATCTTCGGGAGACAAGACTGTGTCGTAATGATGACGATACGGTCCTATTTGTTGAGCACCCCATAGGCCAGGCCCAAGTTAGCTCTGGATCCGTCATCTCAATTACTATGCAGAACGAGCCATGCCAAGATAAGAGGTTACAGGTTATATGACACACTAAAGTTCCCGTGGCTGATAAGGAGCAGGGAGGGAGCCCCATTCTGGAGGAGCTGACTCAGTAAATAACCAGCTATCATCTGGCTTCCAATACTCGAGTAAGACAGAGAGAGAGCATGACTTCATAAGTGTCGAGTGAAGAGGCTTTAATAAGAACTACAGGGACTGCGCCTGATTTTTAACAGCCTCTAAAGTCTTTTGCAGGAGAATGAGGTTCCTGTGCCAGGTCTTAGGTTTCTTCCTTGTGGTTCAAAGAACCTCTGAAATCTACACCCTGCAGTCTGCTATTACAAGCTCAAGTGTGCGTAGCTGTGCAGAGGTAGGCCCAGTCATCCCAGGGAATAATGGCCCCAGACCTGCAGCTTTGAACCCAGCAACCTGACCCATCAGCTCCAAACCAAGTTGTAAAGTAACATGGGATGTTCTCAGTCATGGCGGATACTACCAGCCCACTCGGCTGCGGGCTCATTTAAAAGCCTCAGGGAACTCCCCAGACTTTTTTCCCTTTTAAAAAAGAACACCACTTTTTAGAGCCTTGTAATGGGAGGTGCACCATCGGCTAACCGAGACTTCAAGAGAAGAGCGGCCTACCTACCCTCAGCTTTTTCTGCAGACGAGGGAGAGAGGAGACCCGCCCTCCCGAAAGGAACATGTGCAGCTGGAGGCAGAGACTCACGCAGGACCCTTGCTGCTCTCTGCCTGGCCATTCCTCTGATGCAGGAAAACCCAGGAGGCTTCCATATGTCTCGAGCATATTTGGACCCCTAATCAGGAGAAAGACAGCCCAGGCAGAGGCTGCCCTGTGTCCAGCACCATGGTGGAGTGGGTTCTGATGAGGAGCAGCCTTGTTTCCAAACCATCAGCTGTCTCAGCCTGCTGGACAGAGACACTTTAGGTCCTCTGTCATGTCCTCTCCTGCTTTTTGGGAGCAAAATGCAAGAGGGACTCACACCGTCCCCGTTTCCACTCAACTGTGTGCACAGCATTGTTGTTATTCTTTCCTCAGCCTGCTTCAGCTTTGCATTCTCCAGCTCCTTTATTCAATGCAGAAATCCCACTTAAATGTCTGGTTTTCCACAGATTTCTCCAAGTCCAGATTAAACTTCTGTTTTACTTGTAACCATTTTTGGATTGCTGAGCTCCTCGGGTCCCTTATCATCCCAGGGGCTGAAATGGATGTTTGCCCCAGACCCCGCACCCAGGAAGCTTCGCAGGGCAGCTATCTGGAGAAGCTCACCCAGTTCAGAATGTGTCGTGACCCACCTGCTTTTCGTTTCTCTCTACCAAAGCAATAGATAATTACAGCCAGAGTGCGACCGCCTTTGATCTGAAAAGTGCCACCCTCTTTGATAAGGACAGCTAGTGGGCAGTAAGCATTTTGTCTTTGAGCGAGAGACCCCAAATTCAGGCCTTTGCAATGCTAGCTTGACACATCCCCCCTCTGGGGTGGAATTGTCATGACTTCTTGCAGATTTGGTTTCATTTCCCTCTCAAATAGAAACAGAAGCCAGCGTTTTCAAAAGGCACATTTCACAAGGATGAAAACAAAATAACAAACGGCCAATTCAGAGGGCAGGGGGAGAATACAGATTATAAGTTTGCTCCTCTCAAAAATCAGCTTATAAAAGGCACAATTCTAGCTCAGCCGTGATGGGAACGATTCCTGTGGTTGGGCTCTGGGCTTCTCGAAGCTCATTATGACTGCCCTATTCATAGCATTGCTATCACTGTGGAATTCTTTGGCTAGTGACACATGGTTCAAGAAAGGGGAAGCTATATTTTTTTTTTCTCTTACTGAAAAAAAAAAAGAATTCTTGCAGAGGTAGATTTTCCAAGGGAGGGCTCAGGACCACAAATCCATACCACCTCCAAAAGAAGACAAAGGCTCTCCTTAGAAAAGAGTTCTAAGTGGGAAAGCCTTTAGACAGAAACCCATGGAGATGGCCTGTTGCCAAACCCACCCCATTTCTGCTTTCCCCGTGGAATCTCATTTAAATGGAAACCTTCAGGAGTTCAGTCCTTCCTGCCCAAGCCAGCAGGCCACGTGCCCACTGAAGTGTCGGAGGGCTTGGCTAAGGCCATGTCTGGACCTGGAGGTGCATTTCCAGCTCCTCCTGAGCACGGCAGAACCCCCTCTGGGTCTGAGCCTTCCAGGGTATGGAGGGTATGATGGTTAGGGACTCTCTGACCCCAGTTCAGCCAAGCTGACTGGAGTTGCTTGATGAAAAAGAAGTTGCAAAGACGCAGGGTGTCTCAGATCCCAAGGGCTGGGGTCTGAGGACAGGGCCTCTGAAAATATCAGGACCCTCTCTCCATGCCCACCACAGTTTGTGTTTGTGAGTCATTTCTTCCTGTTCCCAACTGAAAACTGGCTTTCTCATGACTTGTCCACATGTAGGCCAAACGGTGGCCCAGAACACTTTCATCCTTTACCTGAATCCTTTGGGGCCAGATGTGGCCAAAGCGTTTTTGGTGTTAGATAACAACAGCGCATCAACCATATATTACTTAATACTCCCAGTGGGGTCCAGGGAAGCACCCCACAGTCCAGAGAAGCACACAGATGTCTCTACCAAATAACCGATGAAGAGTCTCTAACAGATATTGAACACTACCAACAGCCTCATGTCAGTCAAGGCTGGTTTTGCTGCCAAATGTGTTTGCCACAAATGTAAGAAAATACTTGCAGTTTTCAGAGCTTTTTGCACTTCCGAATTGTGGATAAGGGAGTACAGACTTCTTTCAGATTCATCAACCATAAGTAGACACAGCTGCTCTAAATCTGAATTTAGGGCTGATTTTTCAAGGGAGAGACTGATTGGTCCACCTGCGGTCAGGTGGCCACTCTTAGTCCAATCAGTTGAGGCCTCACGAAGCTATCTATGAGGTTGTGATGGAGAGAAAGACTCTGATTGGTACAGCTACAGTCAAGTGGCTTCTGCCGGTCCGATCAACTAAGGCCAGGCCCTGGAGTTATGGTGGGCAGCTTTGGGGACAAGGGACTGAGCAGCCTCCTTTTTATCCCCCACAGATAGCCGGACAGAGCAGGAGTGAGCTCTTGTGATGGCCTCAAAATTCAGTGGTGTCTCTTAGTAAGACCTTGTAACCACTGGCAGAACGAGAATAGCAAGAGTGCTAAGAGCCACAAGTGTCCTCTTCACCGTGGAGTACCAGGGGGGTCCTCCAAGCCTCCACTAAGCAGATAAGATAGTGTGGCTCTCAAGCCCCTGAGCTCATCTCCCCTGCCCTGTCTGTGGTCTCCCCATCCAAGCATAAGTCCTGGCAACAAGTGGGCCAGTGGGAGACCAGGAACCACACCAGACAGTCTAGCCTCATTAGGATTTCATTTTGGCACCCATCAGCCATGTAAGAGAATGCCCCAAGCTTCTTTCCTTGGAGTGCATGGTTATATAACTCTTAAGAAGATTTGACCTCTTTCTGTACTACTAAGAATGTAAGACACTGTACCCAGAGGGGAATCACGGCACCTCATTTATCTGGGGATTAATTGCCCACACAAGGTAGCTTAGAGGAGAATTTTGAGGGGCTCCTCCTCAAGTTTTATAAAGGTTATCCTGAGTCCCTTTGGGAGATAGTGCCATACCTTCCTAGAGGTGGGGGGGTGCCCTAAATTCTGAGCACAGACCTCAGAAAAGGAGATGGATGAATGGAGTTTCAGCTGAGCAAAGGAAGGAAGTGTTGCCTCTGGACTCTGTTCTGGAGTCTGGGTGTCCCCAGACTGCCCAAGCCGAGGAGGACAGTGTCTGCAGGTGGGAGATTCCAGTGCAGTATACCTGCTTGCCTGGGGTCATGGCCCAAATCCCTCCATCTGAGAATCTCCACTTCCCTGATATTTATATCAAAGAGCCCAGATAAACAATCTTCATTCCCCTCCAAGTCTGGTCTTTCTAACTTGCCACAAAAGACCCTCTACTTTTCTATCCAAATCCCATTTCCATTTCTGCTCAAATCAGAGTATACATTCAGAAACCAGAAACATTCATAAAACTGGTGGTTTGCTTTCAGCAATACCATTTTGCCTCTTGGTATTTTGGGGCACCAGAGTTCTCTATTCAAAAAGAACACAGGCTGGTAGAAGAAAACTAGGCTGGGACAAAGAGGCCCTGCCTGTCTAGGGACTCCAGGTAGCCATGCACCTTCTCTGAGCCTCACATGTCTGTCTATAAGATGGAATAATGACAGCTCCCACATGAAATGCATAGATACTAAGACGAAGCCCAGTGTGTGAAGAAGATACCCCATCCACTCCGACTGGGGACTGTGGTGCTACATTGTCCAAGTGGTTCCCCGGGATGCTCACAGGAAACCTCAGGGTCCCCAAGAGCACCTCAAAAATTTTGTCAAATGAACATCCCAGAACCTAATCTCAGTTTACATTTCCATCTCCCATACTTCTTCCACTGGCTGCCTTCCTGAGTCATTCTGTCTAAATGGAGGGACACCTGCCTCTAGCCTGCTACCTGAGGGATTGGGCCATTCCTTCGACTTTATGCCCTGTCTTTTAACAGCTCAGGCCCATTCATGGGGCTTTTCACAGTCTGCCTCATCCGGGATTCACTCTGTACTTGTCCATGAGACTACCAGGGCCTTGAAAAACATGCACTACTCATCTTCCTTTCCCAACAGTGCTCAAAGAGTGTCTTGTGTGATGGAGAGGCTCAATTCCAGTTTTTGAATGAATAAACATTGAAGCAACATTACTTACTGGGAAGTTGTTCGTCACAGCACTTTCCCCCCACCTCCACAACTAACTGGAACAGACAAGTTGAACATTTCTACTGAACCTCTGTAGCTTCTTCCAAGTGTTTTAAGGCAAGGCTTCCCACTGGGCATGTTGGTCAGCAGAGCTCCATGGAAGAGGCGCCATGGAAAGCTGCTGAACATGTTTGTGGGTTTGTGAATGTCATTCAGTCATGAAAGCTGCAGAGCCTGGGTGAGACAACACATCAGCTCTGACAAGAACTGTCCAGCTGGAATGCCAAGATCTTCTGAAGCCAAGTCAACTCCAGAAGCCTTTCTCTACCCCTACACTTGCTCATCTGAGACCACTGGAAGGACCCAGTGGGGAAAATGATCCAATGGTGGAAACAAAGGGCCTGACAGGCAGCACAAAAGTGTTGGTGTTTCTCTCTCTGGAGGTTTCTTTGCAAAATAGTCATAATAACGTCATTAGAATTCGTTGACTTGGAGAGAAAAAGGGGTGCATTCCTCTTTCACAGTTACATAGAGAAGAACAAAATCCATTCATTTATTTAAAAATAAGCTTGAAGTTTTTCTCCTAAGATCAAGAACAAGGCAAGGGTTTCTTCTTTCACTGTTCCTTTTCAACATCATACTGGAAGTCCTAGCTAATGCAATAAGACAAGAAAAGGAAATTGAAAATATACAGATTGGGAAGGAAGAAATAAAACTACCTTTGTTTGATGATGACATGATCATCTATGTAGAAAATCCAAAAGAATCAACCAAAAACAACAATGACAAAAACAAAAAACAGAAAAAAACATACCCAAAAACCTCCTGGAACTAGTAAATGATTGTAGCAAGGTGGAGAGATATAAGGTAAATGTACAGAAATCAGTCACTTTTCCTATATACCAGCAATGAGCAAATGCAGTTTGAAATTAAAAAACACAGTACCATTTACATGAGCACCCCAAAAATGAAATATTTAGGTATAAATCTAACACTATATGTACAAGATCTATATGAGGGAAAATCTGATGAATGAGTCAAAAGAATTAAATGGGGAGATAGTCCATGTTCGTGAATAGGAAGAATCAATATTGTCAAGATGTCGGTTCCGCCTGACTTGATCTATAGATTCAGTGCAATCCCAGTGAAGTCCCAGCAAGTTATTTTGGGAATATCGACAAACTCATTCTAAAGTTTATATGGAAAGATTAAAATATTTACCAGGTCCTTCTGTGAGCCAGGTCCTTGGCCTGGCCTGGCGACAAGAGATAAAAATCTCAGTCCCTTGTCCTCTAAGGTCTCCCAGGACTGTCAGTTCTTCAATCTAAAGATAATTAAAATCCATCCCTTTCAAACTCTTTTAGCAATGGAACCCACCTTATAAGAAATCCCCTTGTATATGAAAGTAACTCAAACAATTATAAGACAATAGGGTAATGGCTAAGGGCTTTGATGGAGTTGTATGCAAAGTGCGATGGAGATTCCATGTCAGAGATGGCATGAGAAGAGAGAGCTCTGGAGTAGAAGCTTCCGGGGTGATAGGAGACTTCCAGAAAGCTCTGTGCAGAAAGGAATTGCCAGGCAAAGGAACAGCTTAGGCAAAGGCATGAGAGCTTGTCATGTTCTAGGAGCTCACTTGGTTCCAAGAGCAGCAGAAACCAGGGTTTTCATCCTGCCTGGTGACCTGGCTCTTACAAGTTGTCCTAGAGGTCCCTTTGTTCTTGTACTTTTCTGCGGCTCAGTTTCTTCCAGGACCTTCTTGCCACATATCACAGCCTTGCAGCTTTTACCCAGCAGCTGGTGGAGCACTAAAGCATTTAGCAAAAGCCACTGCTATAGAGACATCCATAGGGCCTACACCCGCTCCTTCCCAGAGGCATTCTCATTCACCTTCTCCCTCTTTCTCACCCCCACAACAGGAGAAGCTCCCAGGCTCTCCCTTCATACATATTCAATTCACTTAGAGGTTAGCACACCACAAAATGTTCAGCCTGGTATTTTTTAACGCCTTAAGGAAAAGGAATACTATATCTTTGCCAAGGATGAAGAGAATAAGGTGCATAAAAGCCCACAGAGCCCTCACTCATGTGTCTTTCTCCATTTGCCGTGTGGAGTGTTCCAGGGGGCGGGTGCACACCTCTGAGGAGCATGTGCTGGGTTTCTGTGACCTTTATTCCATATTCCATACTGACCTCTCATCCTCTGGGCCACCACCCACATTTCCCTGCACCCTGCTGGCTCATCCCCCCCGCCGCCCCGTGCCCCTGTACCTCGTGTTGCCCACACACCCCTTCCTACATCAATGTCCACCTTCCCCTTTCCCTCCTCAGATAAACCATGTGAACTCTACTGCTCACCCCTCGGGAAGGAATCCCCGCTGCTGGTGGCCGACAGGGTCCTGGATGGCACACCCTGCGGGCCCTATGAGACCGACCTCTGTGTGCACGGCAAGTGCCAGGTGACGTGTTTTCCTTGTGTCTTTGGTGGGGCTTTCTTTGGAGGGGAGGCTCCCTCACCCCCAGAAGGTTTTGGGGGGTGGGGGGCAGAGACCTCGGGAGGCTTGGGGGAATGGATCTTCGCAAGAAGGCAACTTGGCACCCATCCTCGGTCAGCAGCGACTGAGCATGAAGCCCACCCACAGGCCTATTGGGAGCTGAGGTGGCTGGGAGACTAGTGGAAACGATAATCTCAGAAGTCTTAAAATTTTAAAACTTTAGTCGTTCCAACAAAGGGCAGAACAGGTCGAATACTAAGGTCAGGCTGGAAGATACATATGAATATGTTATTGGACAAGCTATTCTGTGTCTAGCTACCAAAGATAGAGTAGGAACAAAGCAGGTTCCTTCACAGGCAGTACCCAGGAAGTCAGTATGCCTGGCTTTGGGGAACCACTCTACCCACTGCGGTGTAGTCCCCAAAGCCATCCTGGTGTCGGATGTCTGTGACTCATTAGAATGAATGATAAGTATCATTTAAGAAGACAACAGGAAAAAGCAAGGAGGGAGAGAGGAAGACAAGATGGATGGAAGCTCATCTTCCACCTGTTGTTAACTGCCTGGGCTGGGGATGCACCTGAAGCTGAGCCCTCCCGCGGCAACGCTCTCCAACTCAGTGTAACAGGACTGTTTGTCCATTAAGAACGGGCATCACCCTGATGTGGAATTGGGGAAGGGAGTCAGGAGGCTGTGTATCTCCAGTGCCCAGAGGGCCACGACTCAGGTAATGCCACCCTCCATTATGCCACATGTGCCGTATTTCCTGATGATGCAGTTTGAGCTGTACCTGTCATGAGAGAGTCCTCCCCCTCCACCCTGTCCTCAGCAGGTGAGCCCAACAGGATCTGGGAGAGGCAGCAGCTCCCGGAAACGGAGCCTGAAGCAAGCAGATGGATAGCAGGAGAGCTGTGCATTTGGCACAGAAAGGAAAACGAGGTTTTGCCTCCGATTTTCGCTTTACCTTGTTTGGCCTCCACAGACAAGCACCTGCAGCATGAGAGTAAGCATGGACTCACCAAGGGCTCCTGAGGGGCCTTCTCATTTTGCCAGGAAAAGAGAAGCTGCGTCCCAGGAGCCATGAGGCTACTGATGCCTTGGGGTGCCCACACCTCCCAAAGTCAACACCCATCTCTGATGCTCAGTTTCATGGAAATATTAAAAACATTTGAACAATTGTAAATTCCAGGGGTCACAGGGGAGAGAAACTGTCATTCTCCCTAACTGTACTGGTACCAGAAACCTGCCTCCAGACCTCGGACCCACTGACCCCATAAGGCAGCACATCTTGCTTGTTCTCTCTGCTTCATGATGCCTGGCTGAGGGCAAGACAGATGGAGCAGAAGGGGAGAAAGGCAGGAAGACACAGACGCAAACACAACTTCTAGGGTAGTTCCTGTCCTGTGGCCATTTCAACCCCGGTGGATTTTTTTCCCTGCAAAGTCCAAACTAGTCCCAAACTGAGATTTTTCAGGAAAAAAAGCTTGACGATATCCAGACTCCTTTGGCACTGCCTGGCTTTGTTATGAAATCCAGATATGTGTGGATGATAGGCCCTGGGTGCCCGAGAGTCTTGGCAAGGCGCCCTCCTGGGGAAGGAGGCAGTGACAGTGGTGGGGCTGGTGGCCCTCGGGGCTGTGGTGTTGTCGTGGAGAATGTGCAGGGCCTGGGGCAGCATGAACACAGGTCTTATCATTGTCACCGAAGTTGCTAGCATTTCTCTGTAAACCTGCCAGCAAGTCAAGTGCAGGGTTTTTTTACTTTCCTAAATTCTACACCTAACACCGGCCATCCTACAGCACAACAATGAACATTTCCCTAGGAACAGTTTCCGAGTAAAAGCACTTGTACCCTTTCGAGCAGCATGATCTGAGCCACCTCTGGGCTCTTGCCAGCATCTTTTGCAATGTTCTTGCCAACGTGCAGGCATTTCTAAGAATCCTGAAATTGTCTGGCCAGTGGGGTCAGTAGTAAGTGGCCAGACATGATTTCAGCTCTAAGTGATCAGTGCCAATGGGCCCCTTCTGTGACTTGGTTCTAACCACATGCTTTTCAATGAGGAAATCTTCCCTGTGCCATGACAGCAAACTATCCAGTTTTTCAGTCAGAACAACATGGTTGAGAAGCCACACAAGGGCTCTGATAGCCTTAGGTCTGTGGTCATCTGGCACCTTCCAGCCAGAGCCTGCTCTGCACTTGAATGTGATGGCAATAACATGGGTACACTTGCCTTCCCATTCCCGGATGCCACCCCATCCCTGCCTGCCCCCCAGTCTCTCAAATGCCTCCACCCCCATCCTGGTCATTGCATTTACTGACCGCTGCACAGAGATTAGCACTAACCAAGCACCTTACCCCTCAACACAGGTGCAGACAGTGGCCCCCCCCCATGATGTTCTGTGGCAGGTGGGCAGGCTCATGCTCATTGGAGCCTTGCCCCACCCCTTGTCGGTTCTCACAAGTACCATCTCCTCTGCACGGATGTGCCCCAGTTACCAGCCACCTCCAGGCGACTCACCGGTCCTAGCAGAAGGACCACCATCCTGGTAGGTGGTGGCAGCATGTACATGTAGGTACCTCAGGGGATTAAATCCCCGAGAAACCACTCGCTTCTTGAAGGAAGTTTAAAATACCACCTGTAAGTTTTCTAACCGTTCTTATTCCTCAGAGAGAAACCATAAAGGTTAAGTTTAGCCCATTTGTGAAGTCAATTCTCACAAGAATCCAACTTAGTAAAGTCATCGTTAATGAAGTTTTACGATAAAGTTGAGCATACTTAAATAAGAGTATGAGAAATTAGGAGCACCTGGGTGGCACAGTCGGTTGAGCATCTGACTCTTGGTTTTAGCTCAGGTCATGATCTCAGGGTCGTGAGATCGAGTGCAGAGTCTACTTAAGACCCCTTCTCCTTTGCCTTCTGCCCCTCCCCCCTGCTTGCTCTCTCTCTCTCTGTCTCTCTCTCATAAATAAATAAAATATTTTAAAAAAATAAAGAGTATAGGAAATTAAATACAAGTACAGTATGATGCCCAGTTACAGTAATGCCAAAGTAGAATATTCTGGATTCCTGTGGTACTTGTGAATGAGTAAGGTAAGGAAAATTGGTTACAGAGAGGAATAGTAATAAAAAAAAAAATCTTAGGAGTTCAGTGAGCAGAGGATCTGTACTTATTCATCAATACTGTTACCTGATTATAATGGTTAAAAGGTAGAAATGATCCACATTTTATGTAAGACAGCACTTACAGAAATATTGCCATGGTTCACTTACTAGCTTTTTCCTCTGTTCCCTTCAGCTATAAATTTTGCTATTTTGGGGTGGCAGAAGGAGTTCTGGGAAATTTTGAGAAGCACAGTGATTAGTTGGTAGAGAATGGAGGGGACGAGAGGCTCCCAAATGGCATTTTGAGCAGATTCCACTAAGCTCCAAATAGCAGGCTGATTCAAACCATAACATGAAACATGGAAATACCATTTTAGTCTGTTTTTATGAGGACTGAGTTAAGTTTCATTTCAGTGAGTCACAAATTATTTAACATGCTGAAATGAAACTTAACAGCGCTCATAAAAGTGGGAGCGAGTTGGGGAAAGAAACACAAACATTGTCTATTTTTCAGCAAGTCTGTATAAATCAGGAGTTCCATCGTTCGCGATTCCTCCTGTTGGCCTGCAGAGGCAAAGAAATCAAGTTAACATGTTTCTAATGTGCAACTTTGCCTCCAAGCTACTGATCTTCAGTGACAGACAGATCTGAATATACCTGAGACCAGGTATGCTTGGCTTTTCTTTAAGGCCTCACCGGCTTGTGTACACATGTGGGCATCGTACTCCAGTTAGCTTCCCACTTCCTTGAGATCCTAACCTGTGTAACGTATCCTGGGCTGGACGAACACCAAGAAGATTTTCAGGTCCGGTAAGCTTCCTCGGTGGAGGGATTATGTCCAGTTATCCCAGCAGCTGGCTTGGAGGAGAGCCTTTGAGTGCATATTGAAAAGAGAAACCCAGCGAGTGGATGTGTATGTAGGTGGATGGGTCAACTTGCTCTTAGGACTTCAGCGATTCTGGAATATGGAGCCCATTTCAGTGGACGGTTTTCATTATCCAGCACTTATTGGCCTCCCGTTTTGTGTAAGGTGGCCTATTAGGCAAGTAGAATTACTGGTGGAATTTAGGAGGATTATAAGACTCTGGCCTCAGGGTTCCCCTGAGTAAAGAAGGGTAACAAGCATGCAGGAAAACGTACCAGGATTTCGTGCTTGGGCCTCTATTTCAATAACACCCTCTGGTTGCTGCTTCTCCTCACGTCATGACCCTGCAGCTGACATCTCTACAGTGTGTGACTGTTGGTGCTGAATCTTTACTGACAACAGTGCCTAAAACTCTGAAGTCATTCCCTGCACCCCTTCTGTCTGATTAACTTCCCATAACAACTTCCGGGTTAAGCCGGCAGATGGAGCCTCACCTGGGCTCCTCTCCCATGACAGGACTCCACTAAGCTGATGGTAAAGGCAGGATTGCACAAACCATGATGGCGAGGAGAAGCAGAGGTCACCTTTTGACAGAAGAAACACACCACGTCTTTCTGAGGGTGGAAGAGGTTGGAAGTTCCATTGAAGGAACAAAGCCACAGGGGCCAGAACGGGAACGTGTGGAGAGTTGCAACAGAAAAGAAAGCAGAATGCTTGAGGGCGTCTAGGACTTGGGAATGGAGAGTAGGAGTGAGGTGTTGGCTGAAACTGAAGAGAAGGCAAAGAGTCAGACAACATGGCTGGCCATGGCTGGCCCTGCACTTGGACCCTGGGCTGTTGGGTAATGATCTTCACGCCAAGTATCGGGGGCTCCTTTCCAAAGTTGTGTGATAAACTGTTCAAGGGCAGCTGGAGCAGATGTGTGACCTCAGTACTTGGGCACAGCGCTCACCCTCCTGGGTTGGGGAGTGGACCCCAGTTTCCCTCCCACCAGTCCC